TGTGATATCTTTTCTTTCTCAGTGTGTTACTATACAATCAATGATATATAGTGTTCATAATCGCGTTACGGCTACGATCATCTATGCATGATTGAACCTTCTTCTCATTCTACATTATCATTCACTCGTATATTATATATGCGTTCTCTCTTTGGCCTCATCTTCTATCTTTTCATCATCGCTTGTTCTGCTCATGTATATAAACGTGTGCTTTATCTGTAAACGAGGCGATTGTATGATATGAAGGAATAAACTGAAGTGTAATATCATCAACACGAACAATCCTTCTATCATTAATCGTCAGATGACGATAATATGATATGAAGAAATGGAAGAAAGTACATCTTCACCTACAATATCTTCCCGCCTATCATCATTTTTCGTCACAGTGGGTGTGAGTCTGGGTGTGGGTGGGTGTGGGTAGGTGTGGAGAGTGCGAGTGGGTTTTCTCTTGACTCATAATCCCACACCCCCCACACCCACACACCCACACCCACACCCACCCACACTCACATACCCACACCCATACCCCCACACCCACACCCATACCCCCACACCCACACCCACACCCCACCAACCCATCGAGGAGGTTCCAGTTTAGATCGGTACCGCACCAAATACAAAAAAAGGCTACAACAATTAGGATCACGATGATGATGACAACAGTACAGCTAGAAACACAGAATATTTTTTATCATTGAATGGATTTATGATTTTCTTACTTGTTCTTCCTCTATTTACAATGGCTCTTTTTTATTTCAACAGCTGTGGATTTTTATCGTACTCTCTTATATATAGTAAGTACATTTTGTGTTGAAGAAAGTCACACAACCCGACTGAATTTATTCCAGTGTGATCGTGTGAGCGTATCGATCGATTCATATCTAAGAAGATTTGAGAGTTCGTAACTTGTCGCATCATACCAATTATGGATTGTTCTCAAAATTTTCCTATTCATGACTTGGAGATGATTTTGCCTAGAGGTTGATAGAATAGGGTAAATGTTTAAAATTGTTTGATAAGATGGTGTGATGTGTTCATGACATGAATGATTTGTCGTAGCTTCATTCAACTTTTTACTTGATGTGAGACACTTAAATATTGTTAGGTTCTTGCGAACTTTGGATTATACATAACTAAGATTGGAAATGAAAGAAAGTTTAGAATCTAGAATAATTTCAAGATACTTAATCGTCTCTAGAAAACATTTTTAAATTAAAAGTAAATTTTCGATTGATCAAATCGGACATGGTTGTATTATTATTATTATTAAAGAATTCGTAGCGACAATAGTTTCTGAGCTAGTAACAAAGAAAGGGTGTGGGTGTGTGCCACCCTCTCGAAAATGGAGCGAAGAATTTGGTCGCGAAAATACAAATATCTGTTGGCTAGAGGCGGAAATGTTTTACAGCAAGCATAGAACCATTGGAAGAACAGAATACTTGTGTAAATGTTTTTTTTTTATTGAGTTTCATTTCTATCACTGTGGTGACTGACCAGTGGTAGTACGTCCAGATTAATATTGAGGAGTCATTATGTATTTTACTGCAGAAAAAATACGCAGGAGAACAATAGAAAAGTAAACAATGTGAACTTTGAGGTTCTAAAATTTGATTACGCTGGTTTCAAAATCTTTTACTTACTATATTTCAATTTTAAAAATGAATTTTCGAGAATTTGAAACGTCAACTGATTTTCTCTATTGAATGAATCAACTCCAAATTTAATATTTTGACATTTAGAGGATAGGAAAAATATTTCCCGAAAATTTTTAATCATTAGTTAATGGTTGTCTTCAATTAAAATACAAAGTTTCAAATAGCATTATATAACGATGGATGAAGTAGAAAATACTCGAAATTGTCAATAATAGGAAATTCCATCTGCAAGACGAACTGCCACTACAAGCAAACATTTGAACTCGGTTATTTTCATGATCCACTACGTACAAATTTCCAGTACTGTCCAATGCTAAGCCATACGGACGAGAGAGTTGGTGAGAACCATTACCTTTCCCATGTCCTCCGATGATGATCGTCCCTGTTTTACTGCCGAGTGGAATACGAATGATACGGTCATTATATGTATCAGCCACATAAACTGTACCCAAATGATCAACAAGAACACCACGTGGAGCAGCTAGTTGATCTGTGCGATTACCATAGTTATTGCCACCGCCAATGAGAATCCCTTCTGTTGCATTCATTGGCCACTTGATAACCCGATTATTTCCACTATCGGCTATATAAATGGTTCCACTGTCATCGATAGCGACATCCCAAGCTAAAAATAGAGAGCAAGTGCAAATATCAAAGAAGGAATTGGCATACATCTGATATTGGAACATCGTACTTTCGCTATTCTTCTTTCTGAAAATACATGGTTATGTATAAATTCAGTCTTTCCTATAAGAATTTTATTCAAATGAAACCTGCTACCTATCCGACTAGAAGAGAAAAGTATACTTTTCTTCCGTTGTGTTCTGGAAATGGAAAGGTTATGAATTCTGGTGTGTATTTCTTTTCAAAAGTTTGTTCAGAGAGATTCAATTATGAATTTCGATCTGCAAGGTTCTTCGAAGGAAAAATTATATAATCCCCCGATAAGAAATTATAGTTCGTTATGAATTCTAACAAAATGATGGTATTGCAATATACTTACGTTGATCGAGCTGAAAAAGAGCTGATCCTTCGCCAAAATTACCAATAATGGTGTGTTCACCGGTGCCATCTTTCTTATATCTAATAACACCTCCTTTAGAGCGTTGTGTAACATAAAAATACTCTTCTTTTCTATCGAAAACAATGGCGTCAAGCTGTTCAGCAGCATAAAGGATATCCGTCTTTGAACCGTCAATCCAATGTGTCACACGCCCTGATGAACCTTCGCTCGTGCTCAAATCCACAATGTATAGATTACCCTGTTTGTCGACACTAATATCAGTTGGTGTATGAAGTTTACCAGCTACAACGGTACCAATTGATGCACCCTGTTCCATTTTTATTACACGATCATTTCGACTGTCAGCAATGAAAAGACAATCATTGGAATCAATAAACAATCCTACTGGATAATGAAGTTGATTTGTAGCATTTCCTTGTGTACCACCGATCACTGTTCTTCCTACTTGTGACCATGTTGCTGAGGGACAAGATGGAGCTAGAGAAATTGAATTGAATCTGATTAGGAAATTTCCCTTTGAAGTCTATCTTTTTTCTCAAACAGTTCAAATGTGATTGCCTGAAATGATTCGAATTCAGATCTCAAGCGTAGAATATAGAAAGGACAATTTAATAAAGCAAGCGCAGTGCTTCACAAATACTATGCACCTTAAAGTTTTACAAGAACTTTTTGACAAAAAGAAATTGATTGTTTAACTTAAAAAGTCGATGTTCTACCTATAATAAAGGGAAAATAAAAGCTATCAAATCGGACTGATATGGATTTTATTCGACGCAGTTTTTCACTCTGATCCCAAATATTTGACTTTGTTTTCTTGGAAAAAATAGCTTGTAAAGCTAGAAAATCGGACTTTCCATGAAAGAAAAAACTAACAAAGCGTTAAGGAGGAACCCCCTGAGAAAGCAACTTTGTTATTTTTCGTCCGATTTCAACCAAATTTTGGGAGAATATTAGTCTAGGCTAGGATAGATTATGGGTGAAATATCTCCCACAAACCTCTAGTATACTAACGAGTTTAGTCAATTTATTGGTAAAAAGTACTCTATACGCGGGCAGGGTTTTCACCACGAGGGCTAGGAGCAAAGAGGCCGAGATGGTTTTAGGTTATAGAGTGGCTCTAGGGCTAGGTCGTGACAGAGTCCAACTTTTGAATTTTCCTTTTTTTGTTTTTTAAAAATCCTATTTTCAAAAATTTTGGGTCTCATGACCAAAAAAATCACCGGTCAGAATGAAAGATATACGGTTTTTATTTCAGCAAAAGAGAAATTCAAAAATCCAGCTCTGTGACGACCTAGCCCTACCTGTCTACTATACAATAAAAAAAATATATCACTTCTATACCGAGTCGTTATGATGAAAAGCCTGCCAGCGTAAACGGCATGCTCGAAAAAGCTGGTTTTGAGAAAAACGAAAAACAAAATTTTTGATGGAGTTAACATCTTTATTCGAAATAAATCTGTTTATTAGTTTAATATTTCTGCACTATTCGTCAAGCTTTATTACTAGCGCGTATGTAGATATATCGTAATACGGTTAGAAGTACATACCGTGCCTAAACTATGATCATGGTTCCTTATACATAGATGTCACTTTAAGTCACGCATGTTTGTATGAATTTTTCGGTTAACTCAAAAGATTAAATTTTTATGGCATATGTAACTAGTCAAGGTCTTTTAATTCTGAAAGTTTCAGCTCTATAGCTGGCAATAATGATGAAGTACATCGATTTATTTGAAATGCATAATTTTCCTAACTTGTTTTTTTGACTCATTTTCAGAAAAAGTTAGGTACGAGTATTTGTGTATCTCAACTTGACTGATATATTTTGTGAAACACGATCTGAAAGGAGTGTTGAAGTGTATAGGGTAGAAATTTTGCACCCACCCCCCCCTCCCCCCCCACAGACCGTGACAGAGAAAATCCATACCCATCACAGACCGTGACAGAGAATTCGGGTACCCATCACAGACCGTGACAGAGAATCCAGGTACCCGTCACAGACCGTGACAGAGAACCCCGGGTACCCATCACAGGCCGTAACAGAGAATTCAGGTACCCATCACAGACCGTGACAGAGAATCCAGGT